TAGCAGTAGCAATAGCAGTAGCAATAGCAGTAGCAATAGCAGTAGCAGTGGCAGTGGCAGTAGCAGTAGCAGTAGCAGTAGCAGTGGCAGTAGCAGTTGGTGGTGGTAAGACTCGAGATACTGTCCTTTGAAGCCTTCCGTTTAGGCATCCCACGCTGGGTGATGCACTGCAAATGAACGTGGCCAGCGCTCCGGGTACCCACAGCGAAGCACATGAGAGTCATTAAACTGCACTTGCGCCTCACTGACCGCCAGCACTCTTTAGGCCATGTTGGGCGCGGTTTCCACAAGACTGTGGCCAGAGTTTCCAGGCATAGAGTTTGGCTGGAACATGGCACATGCTCGTGTAATGAGGGCACAAATGTGATGTGCGGATTGTCCAGCGAACAAAGCTGAACACACCAAAAATTCAGGTTGCACGTCCTGCTGCTGGAGAAATCGCTATCTTTCAAACTACTTTCCTTCAGGACTGCTAGACAACCTGGCTTAAAACAGTTCAAGTTTCCTGCTCGTTTTCCCTCATTTTCAAGCAGCAAAACGGTACCTTTTGTTTTTTTTCCCCTGCGAAAAACTTTAGGCGTGGACCGTGTTGGTCGTGATTTCCGGCAACACGTCTCACGCAAAGTCAACAAGGGAAAACCCACACGGGAAATCCAAACTTGAGTTTGCTACGGGCCAGGCAGGCGGCTGGGGGCTGTGGAGGATTCTGCGTGTTGGGCCACGAGCTGCCCCAAGGGAGGGAGATCCTCTTCCCTGCAATTGCGCCTGCAAAGGACATTGAAGGCAAGGAAGCATGGCGGTTTGCTAGAGGGAGGCGCTTTGCTTTGTGCTGGGACTGTCCGGGCTTTGCTGTAGCTCTGGGTAGCCCCTCTCTGGCCTGCCTTGCTTCGTGCAACACTGCTCCTGCATATCGCCCTCCTCGTCGGCGTGGTTGGCCTGCACTGGTTAAGGGGGCCACTGCGCCCCGTTCCCCAGCCGGAGGCCATTGGCGATGACCTCAATGCGACGTTCATAAAACCGGCAGAGCACGCGGATGCTGGGGTCGGTGCCCAGCGGCTGCGGAAAACCCCTGCCCTTCAGCATGCAGACTCGAACGCGAGGAACTGCGTCGTCAAGAGGGAATTCAAGAAACTGCTGTCTGACATGGGGCTCACCTTCAGCTTAGCGGATC